ACACACACACTCAAACACACACACTCAAACACACACACTCAAACACACACACACTCAAACACACACTCAAACACACACACTAAGTAAATAAATATATATGTAAAAAACATTTTAAAATGACAATCTTGGAGCTGGGCAGTGGTGGCACATGCCTTTAATGCCAGCACTTAGGAGGCAGAGGCAGGTGGATCTCTGAGTTTTAGGCCAGCTTGGTCTACAGAGTGAATTTCAAGATAGCCAGGGCTATACAGAGAATCCCTGTCTCAAATATATATATTTCCTTATCAATATAAATATCTTCTTTTATATTATGTGAAGGAGTATTTTGCTGCATATATGGCTATTCACCATTCACATACCTGGTTCCTACAGAGGCCATAAGAGGGAATCAAATCCCCCGGAAATTGGAGTCACATACTGTTGTGAGCTGAGACTCAAACCCTGATCCTCTGGAAGAGGATCTTCCAATGGTCTTAACTACAGAGCCATCTCGCCAGCCCCATCTGTATTCTTCTTTAAGCAGACATAGTGGTAAGAAACTTCCAGGACTTAAGTTGCAGTAGAACTGGCCACAAGTCTGTAGTTCAGTGTTACTGCAATACTATCTAGTAAATCCATGCCCCTTGAAAATATATCTGCTCTTTGGGATAGTTGTGTTGGTCACAGTCATTTATGGGTTTGTTTTTCAGCATACACAACAATCCAACCCAATACTAAATCAACTAGGCTCAACCAAGTAGTTCTTTTGTTCCAAACGGTGTCAATAAGGATATTCACATAACTCTATATTTAGTTAGTAGCTTGCTAGGTTTGAACTGTACAAACTTATCTCATTTATACGTGTAATTGTCAGGTGGGAGTTCTAGAATGCTGCGAGGAATGAAGTAGACCTGTCTCTTTATGCATCTCTGCAGCAGGACACCCGGCCTTATTTATATCCTTGGGAGGAAGGAAGCTGCAAGCCTCTTACAGCCTAGACACAGAAGTGGAAGACACTTGTAATTCACTCTATTGGTTGAAGCAAGTAACTTAACCCCAGTTTTCAACAAAAGAAAAAAAAAGTTCATCTTTTGACAGGAGAACCAGTATGCTCATGCTCATGACAGGCTTGTTAGTAGACTATGCAGAAAAAAAAATCTACCATAGTAGTGGTATCTACCCAGTATTGACCACTGTGGTGGTCAGAATTCAGCTGTTCCCTGCCAAGATGCAGAAGAGAGAACTAAAAATCTTAAGAACAGTTTTGCCACAGTACTTAAACAATGCTGAGTTTTCTTTTTAGAGGGTGGTGGTTTTAGCCAGTGGCTCTCTTTATGACTCAGGCTGGTCTTGAACTCTCTATGCCCTCCTTCCTCAGCATCCTGAGTGCAAAAATTACCAACTGAACATGGGGTGATGGTGGTGGGGATGGTGGTTATAAATAATTGACTCTCTGCAAAATTAACTATATCCATAGTACTCATTACTTCTCTTTTAACAACTTTTTGGTCCATCTAAGAAGATAGCACTGGCTTTGTATACACTTTACTGTGATGCATATGGACTAAACAAATTCATTCTCCATTATGATCCTTAGGGCCCTCTCCAGACCCTTTTTAAGTCAATACTGAAAAGTGAAATTTAAGATAAGGTTAAGTGATTTGCTTTACGTCATACATTTTATACATTAGGTCAGTTAGAATGGAGAAGTCCACATTAAAAACTGTCTCCTTTCACTAAGTGTTCTGCTTTTCGTGTTTTGTTTTGTTTGTTTTTTGTTTTTTTGAGACAGGGTTTCTCTGTGTAGCCCTGGCTGTCCTGGAACTCACTCTGTAGACCAGGCTGGCCTCGAACTCAGAAATCCACCTGCCTCTGCCTCCCAAGTGCTGGGATTAAAGGCGTGCACCATCACCGCCCTGCGTGTTCTGCTTTTCATTCACTCATTTAACAAGTATTGTTTGGGACACCTACCATACCATGTGAAGGAATGTACATAATTTATATAATGACAATTATTTATCGAATACTTTCTATATTTGATTGTGTCAGTGAATACTTAACAGAAGCCAACTATAAAAATTATCTAGAAATCTCTGCCCCATTTTACTGATGACAAAAAGGCAGTGAAAGGGAAAAGACGGACTGTGTCCTACCTTCATTGTTATTACGGCCGATTAGTAAGAATATATAATAGTCACATAAGTATTTAAACATGTAATTACAAATTACTCTGAATCAGAAGCTGTCAGAGAGGGTTTACTAAGCTTCCCATTTCACAATTAAGGTCTCAAGTAACCCTGGCAACGACTCTGCCAATACTAAAGAAAGCATCTAGCAAGCGCGCCTATTTCCACACACCCCCATTACCCACAATGCAAAAGGAGTAGGCGGAGGAGCGGCGTCTGCCCGAAGTTAATATGGCTCCAATAGTTACACCGTACGTTCTCTTCACCTAGTCAGAGTGGTCACTGCCAAGACCAATTTGCCAAGGAGAAATTAAGCCTCTTTTACCTCCGCACTACTGTGACTACAGAAGAATCTGAAGCAAGGAGTCCGCTTAGTGGCGATACACTCCATAACCACCGAAGCGCCACTTCCGCTGACGTCATCACGCCGACACGTGGATCCAAGATGGCGGCGGCGATGGTGAGTGAAGGAGACTCTGGGAACCGGAGCTGGAGCAGGGTCTCCTTGGATACCCCAGGACCTTCCAGCGCCCCATGCCTGGTTCCCCGCCTCCTCCAGAACCCCTGCTCGGGTTACCCTTCACTGGGTTGGCCTCTACAAAGTCCCTTTCTCTAGCCTTGGCATGGCATCTAGGCTTGTCAGGGCCTGGAGTTTCAGGGGAGGAGCCGCTTGGAAGGAAGACTTCAGCTAATGCCTTCACGGTTCTCATTCCGGCTTTCGTTCCCGCCCCTTGTCACCCCTATTTCCCATTTCTCCCCCTCCAGTCTTTGTCTCCTCCCGAGAGTCCCCCGTTATTTCTGCCTTCGCTGCTCCTCCTCCTCCTCCTCCTCCTCCTCCTCCTCCTCCTCCTCATGTTCATACCCAGCTCTCTCCACATACCCATCAGCCTAACCAGTCTGCAGGTTCTACCTTGCTTGAACCAGCCCAAGCCTTGTCCTTAACTGCACTCACAGCTGTTCCCATAGTGCATCCCAATTGATTGCTGCTGTACCAGGGCATCCCATGCCCATCATCCATCCCCAGGCCCTTCCCTCCTCCTGCCTTTTCTGTCAAAATCTTTGTGTCTCTTGAAATGCTTTTATCCAATTGGTTCTTAAACTCCACTTGTGCACGGGAATCTTGGGTTGTTGGTGGGGAGGCATGTTAAAATAGTTTCCTGAGCCTCACTTCCAAAGATTGCAATACCTTAGGGTTAGGCAATGCTCAGGAATCTACACTCTCACAAACAGTCCTGTGTTTATAGTGGGGGTGGTCCCTAGGTTAACGTTTAAAAAGCACCTCTGGCCCTGCCTGTCCGTATCTCATTTCCATGCCATACAGCTCCTTACGGATGAAGGCTCACTATTATGAAGCTGACTAGAATTAAGTCTCTTTGTGGATGAGAGTGGAGATACTACTGTACCTGTGCCTGAAGGATGAGTCACTTGCTGACTTCTGTTACAGAACCACAGAATTAGGTTTTTGCAGGTCAGATTTTCTAAGAGAAGTTCAGCTCAAATTCTGTTTGCCAAGAAATGAGAACAAAGATCTAAAGTGCATTTTCCTGTCTTGTATATTGCTTCCTCAGAATATAAAATTAATTCCATCCTGGTAGTGAATGACAAGAAAGACTCAGAGAAAAAGCTTGTGACATTTGATTCTGCTGTAGGAAAAATCTTGCTTAAGTTGTTTGCTGTTTGTTTTCTCTAAACAAGGCCAGGTTAATTAATGAAAGGATTCCCTCCTGCTAGCAGACTGCTGACTTATCAATTTTTTTTTTTTAATAAAGTTCCTTGTTTATAACCCCAGAAGTCAGGGAAAAGATTTCATGGCTTGGTGGAGTGTAACTCATTTTGTAGAGCACTTAGCGTACACAGGAGCCGAAGTTTGATATCTGTCTCTGTTTAGGGGGAAGACTGTTTCAAAGCTTTATCTGGTTTGTGTGGCCACAGACTTCAATCTGAATCATGAAGTAGGGTAAATCCCAGAAGTGGGATGTTGAAATGCTTTCTCTCCTTTACCACATTTAGAATAAGAAGGACTCGAGGACAGGAAGTCACACCCTTTCTTGGCCCTAGAGAGTTCAATAAGGTGGCGTTTATAACACTGCACTGGGAAATTCCAGCCCTGTACGGAGCTTTTAAGAGTTTATAAGTTAGCAATATGTATTTCTGGTGTTCATTTCTTTATTCAGCAAATATTTGAGTGCCCAATTACTGCCAGTAACTAGGTGTATGGTTGTCAGAGAGTCATCATCCCACCCTGTGAACCTGCTCTCTTTGAGAAAACCTGCCAGGTGATGCTAACTGCTGTGAGGACAACAAGGTGAAGTGATGGTGATTGGCGGTGACTAGGCAACATAACTGGGACTGAGTGTCAGAGTCTCCACAGAGACAGTGGTAAGAGTTGAAGCTTCATTGATAACAAAACAAAAACAAACAAACTAGCTTTGCAAAGAAAGTCTCAGGCAAAGAAAATGGCAAGTGTGAAGGCCAAATGACATGTTTAAGGAATATATAGAAGACTTTAACACCAGAATCTTGTGTAAAGGTGGGGTAGGAAACAGATCAAAGACAGAAGTTGGAGACAAATAAGGACAGCAATTGCTAGAAGTAAGTGAGCTTGTGATTGGTGCATGTTGTAGCTCACAGTTAGCAATCTGTATACTCTGGTTTGAAATAGATTTTTGCCGGGTGGTGGTGGCACACACCTTTAATCCCAGCACTTGGGAGGCAGAGGCAGGTGGATTTCTGAGTTTGAGGCCAGCCTGGTCTACAGAGTGAGTTCCAGGACAGCCAGGGCTATACAGAGAAACCCTGTCTCAAAAAAACAAAACAAAACGAAAACGAAATAGATTTTTCTGTTAGGTTGACTTCACTTCCTACTCTCCTGGGACAACAGATCAAGAGAGCCAACTTGTTCTTAGTGTGCAGATAGACCATGGAAACCAATTTGACTCATTTCAATAGGTAGGAAATGCAGCACTTGGGAGGCTGAGAGAAATGGATATCTGTGAGTTCAAGGCTAGCCTGGTCTAGATAGTGAGTTCAAAGAGCCTGGGCTATGTAGAGAAATTTAGATAAATACATAGATACATTGATAGGGATGGATAGATAGATAGATAGATAGATAGATAGATAGATAATATGAATAGAAAATGTGTTCTATACTGAGCCAAGTTTAAACGGTATGCAAGAAACCGCATGTTCAGTGAAAAGGCACAGAAGCAAGTTTGTACAGAGGTGTATGTGGAGTCAGAGATGTGAATTTAGTTTGTGCCAAGCACATGACTTCACAAAAGTCAGTACTGTTTCTACCCTCTCATATATGTAAGCTATTTCACAACCATTTTGGGTGGGGCATATAGATTTAATTTGGAGCAGATGTGCTTCTGAGGCAAGTCATGCAAAGAGGAACGGAGCTAGTGGACTCAGTGGGTGTGTGAAAAGGCTGGTGATTTGGGGAAGCTGTTTTCCTTTGAAAGTTTTGAGTTGTGGGTATACAGTGCCTGGGCTTTCCCCCTCCCTCTCTTAGATTCATGAATGGCTCTTCCCTAAGTGTTGTGCAAATGCTACCCAGGTTTACTAAGCACAACAGTGAGTGTTTTCCTGAATCTTCAGAGTATAACTTCTCTGGCTATAGGAAAAGGAAGCCAGGAGTTTGTCTTCTGCCCTGGATTTAGACCAACGTATAAAGTTACAGGATAGAATTCATCTGGCTGGGACAGAGTTGAGAAGCAGACTCATCATATCTTATTACAGAAAACTACTCTTGGCACTGTTTTAATGGGACTTGGAAAATGCCCATTGAATACATTCATATTATTATAACTCTACTTCCCTTAAATAATCTCACACTATCAGCTTTTATTACAGTTTTATCTCTATGGATATGATTCATATACCACAAAATTGCACGTCTTATTAAAAGATCTTTTTACCTTTTATGTGTGTTTGCCTGCATGCATATATGTGTACTGTGTACATGCTGGTGCCTGAGGAATCAAGAGGTCTGGGTACAGGGAAGCAAACCCAGATCAGTGAGCACTTCTAACACTGAGCTCTTTTAAGTTCACAGGTCAGTGGCTTTTGGTGTTATTTAGAGGATCACTGTTTAATTCCAGAACATTCCCATTTATTCCAGCCTTTGCTCCCTCTAGTCTCTGGCAACCACTGATTTTCTGTGTCTCTGAGGATATACCTTTTCTCAGTTCACATAAAGAGAACTTACAATGTGTGGGGTTTGTGTCTAGCTGCTTTTACTTTTCCATGATACTTTTTTTTTAACAACATAAAAAGTTCATTATAAAATATTCATCTTTAATTTGGCAGACACAAGAGATATGAACAAATGCAGTTACTAGGAATATTTTGAATATAATCTAAACATTCTCCAAAGCTTTCAAATCATTTAAAAATTGCAAGTAAAAGTCACACCCTGCATGCTTCATTGTTACTAGACTTATTTAATAAGCCTTTGTCAATAAAATCACATATTTTAAAAATTAGTGGAAACAAGAATTAGTTAAAACCACATAGTCTTCCCCCTTGAGAGTCAAGCCATCTTAACTACAGAAACAAGCATCAGTTCTGTATTTAACAGCAAATCACTATGTCCAAGAAACAATAGCTTGTAGAGAGTTGAATAAAAAAATTTGATTGCTGACATGGGTCGCTTTTTCACAATTAATATCTCTCACAATCATGTGCTCCATTTCTGTCTTCCTCTGATTATTTCCATAGGTAGACATGCCACAACATGTGATAAAATACTCTGTGTGTCCCAGGTTGGGCCATGATACTCTCAAAATCCGTCCATGTTGTAGCATTCCCAGTACTTCATTTTTCTTTCTAAATGGCTAAACTATCCGTGTTTGGATAGGTCACACTTTCTTTATCTCTTTACCAGCTGCTTGGGACTGTATCATCTATTAGCAGTTTGGAATAATACTGCATGAACTGTGTGTGCATTTTTGCATAAACGTGTTTTCAGTATTCTAGGAGACGTGCCTAGGAGTAGAGTTCCTGGGTCAGTTTACCCTGTTTTGGAGGGTTTTATTCCACATAGGGCAGAATAATGGACTGACTGACACCAAGGTCCCTGGAGCCAATGAGGCAGTGCTAATAGTGCAGTTGGGTGGAAGTGTCGTTTAGCAGGAGGCAGGAAAGTCCTCTGCCTCTAGTTTGATCTCCTTTGGGCTTTCAGAGTATCATCAGCTTGTGGAGAAGCACTGGAGTAGGAGGCAGCACCTTGGCTCATTCCAGTAGTCATTGATTTCATGTGTGGCTTGCAAATGAATTTGGCTTTCCTGATCTGTCTTGTGTATACATGTCATATGTGATGCTAAGATTTGAACTTCAGCTGTCGGCGGGCGGTAGCACACGCCTTCAATCTCAGGAGGCAGAGGCAGAGGCAGGTGCACCTCTGGGAGTTCTGCCAGCTTCATCTACATAGGGAGTTCCAGACCAGCTGTGCAGAGACGTGGGTGGAGGGAAATCTGCCAGAACAAAAACTAGGCGGCAGTGGCACATGCCCTTAATCCCATCACTTGGGATTGGGAGGCAGAAACAGGCAGATCTCTTGAGTTAGAGGCCAGCCTGGTCTACAGAGTGAGTTTCAAGACAGCCAGGGTTACACAGAGAATCTTGCCTCAAACAAACTTGTGGACTTCATGATTTCTAAATTCCAAGTGGAAAGTTCTGTAGCTAATACTTACATTGAAGCTGCTTTTGCTAATGGACTGTGCAGTTGGGTTTGTTTTTACCTGTCACTGTCTTTTGCTCCCTCCAGGGCATTGTGTTGGGCATATTTCCTGGCTGGCTCCTTGAGTTGCCTCACCCAGCACACATTCTGCAGGAACCACTGTATCCTGGGAACTTAGTGCCTGTACCAAGCCTTGATTAATGTGTTTCTCTGAGAATTCCCTTTTAAAGGAGGCCCTCATCCCACAGGAAATGCAGAGGAGACAGCATTTAGTTGCTTCTTGGTCTCTATTTTACGACTTGGACAAAAGGTCTCCTTTGATCTTGGAATTAAAGAAGCCAGTTTCAGAATGTTGGAGAAAGTTGAGTTTTGATCTCTGGGCACTGCAGGAAGGTGGGAAGGACCTAAGATGAGCAGGGCCATCTGGCCACAGATGAATGGTGGGGGGCTTCAACCTCCTAACTGCTTTGATCCCTGAACCATTTGCTGTCACTATTGTTTTCCAGATTGTGGAGCGGGGCACCCACGTCTTCTCAGTCCCCCCTCATTCCTCTTCATTGCTTCCCCTGTGTCATTCGATATGTCCAATATGATTTCTTACCCACATCCGATACCTTAAACTGACAGACCTCCCAGACTTTGAGGTCTAGGTCTAAAGCTGGGTAGACAAGCCTGGGGTAGAATTACTTTTGCAACTGTGGGCAAGCTTCTTGCCTCTTTAAGCCTGTTATATTTTCTTGATACTTTCGTTATGGTGAAATAGACATAAAATTTGACATTTTAATAATTTGTACAAGTTTGGGACATTCCTTACATTCACAGTGTTATGTAACCACAACCACCTCCACCCATCTCCAGAGCTTACCCAGCATCCCATACTGAATCCATTTTCTATAGTTTTGAAGTGGGGGTGAGACTGTCCTCAAAAGAATTATAATAATGAATCTGAGTGCCTAGTACTTTGTAGCTTTATTCCCAGATTTGAAGTGTTGCAGACCTGAGCTGTTTGAGCCTACTGCTTCTGTGGCTGAGAGATCTTTTATAAATACCCCAGAGGGAAGAACTCTGATCTCTGCGCTTCCCCTCTGCGGGGTTAAGTCTGACTGTTTATAGCCTTGTGAATACTGGTTTCACCTGGACTTTATCTGTGCCAGGGCTTCTCCTAATACCTCCCCCAGCAGTTTTTGAGTCTTTTTATGTCTCTGTTCAACAACTGTTGTGTCTCTGCATTCTGAAATAAAGGCTGCATTTTCAGAATCACCAGAGGCTAATTTAGTTCTAGATTTTTTGTTTTGTTTTGTTGTAGCTGGGTGAGTTCTTTAGCTCAGTGGGGCTTCCTGGTAAGTGGTCTTTAGTTGCCATTAGCTTTCATTCACATGTGCCTGAATTCTTAGTGAGCTTTAACTGATTGGATAATTGCTTTCAGTTAACTGTTGGCAAACAGTGCCGTGGGAGCCTCCCCACCCCCCACTGGGTGTCTTAGTTCCTTAATCTGGGGAGTGGTTACTGACTGACCTTAAAGCTTTAATGAGGAAGAACACAATAGCCGGCTCTAGGCTTCTGTGAGGAAGATGCCTTCGCTATAGCAAGGAACTGGAATGGCCTTTTCAAGATTGGACCCAGCTAGGTGAAGCTGTTTATAGGAAAGAGTTGAAGAGGTAGAGGACCCCAGAAAAGAAGAGGTTAACTTCTGTCA